GGACCTTTCAGCGTACGGTCGGATTCCTGGGAGGTTGAGTTGATGGTGAGCAGATATGTCGTCATATAAGCTGGCTGGGATGGCAGTTACGTCTGCACCAGTGTCGACCTTCATTGTAACTGGCACTGACTGCAGCAGCATGGGCATAGACCACCGAGTATCAGCGGACAATGCACCTAGGTAGGCTGGAGGATAGTGCCAATGATCAGCAGACTGTAATGGACCAGAGCTGGCAGCAGAGGACTGCAGACTATGCATGTGACTGGTGTTGGAGGCAGACTGAGAGCTACTAGTGTGCTTCTGCATACAAACAACAGCAAAGTGTCCAATCTTGCTGCAAAAATGAACACTTGGCCTGACGAGCTGGGCATTGAGTGCGTGCATGGCGTTCCTTACCACACCAGTGACAGGTACTAGATTGATCAACGCCAGAGCTGTGCCTGGGTGTAGACTGACTTGAGCAAGGATGACTGCTGTAACTGTGTGTACTGCGGGGCTGTGAAGCATGACCAGTTGAATCGCGGTTGTACTGGGCCGGATGTTTCACACCTTGGTGAGATTGTGGTCGCATGCTGAGTGCATTCAGCTCCAGTGCACAGGTACACGACTCACATGCAGAGTGATGCTGCTGTTCGAAAGCGTGGACTTGGTGAAGAGTTGCACCAGCTGACGAACTGTGACGGACAGTGGACTGTTGTGTTCGAACAGTCTCTTTCTGGCGAGCTTGTGCCAGAGCTTTGTCCAGTGTAAGAGATGGGTCCAGTTGCAGTTTCTGGGACAGGGCAGTGTCTGCAACTCCTGCAACAAGGCGATCACGGATCATCTCGTCGTGGAGCTGCTTGAAGTTGCAACGTTCTGCCAACCGAAACAAATCAGTTATGTAGCCATCAATCGACTCTCCGGGCTGTTGGGACCTCTGGTGCAATTTCGCACGCTCGTACACCAGATTGCGTATCCTGCCATAATGGTCTGCAAATTTCTGGAATACAATGTCGTAGTTGTCCGCATCCTGGTCTGATAAATGGAAACTCAGTAGAAGGTCGTCAGCCTTGTCGCCCATCGAATATAACAAAGAGTTTACTTGCACGGACTGTGCCTGCATATGAAGACCCGAGGCGAGCCTGTATCTCGTAAATCGCTTGCTCCACTTCTCCCACACATCAGCGGACTTGAAGTAGAATGGGGCTGGAGGAGCTACCTGGGTAAGGTGGATCATCGACGGAACCTGGGGTGCCACGGGACCCAGAGATGATACCGTGGGGAGGGATAGCCCAGCCGCGGAGGTAACGACAGAGGGTGCAGCTTGACCAACACTCAAGACAGTGACTCCTCCTGACGAGCCAGCATTACTAGTAGTCGTAGTATTACTTGGACCTGAGGAAACCGTGATGGAGGTAGTTGTGGGAGTGGAAACAGGGTTGTTTGAAACGCCTGTCGCCATCCTGTCAAAGAGGAAATCCTAGCACTGCCACCAGGTAATGTTCTCCCGACGTCCTTAGTACGTGTCGAGAGCACACCAAAATACCAACTCAACACGGTCTCGTTGTGAGGCAAAGAACCCTTTTCATTATCAGTGCAAGAACACAAATAGTAGGGAAAGAAACATAATACAGCAAGGCAGTCGCGGGTACTCCATATCTGGATCTAGTAGAGTACTTGAGGGTACACTACGGTGCATGACACATCTAGATATGGGATGAATCATGAAAGGGATACTGTAATGGATAGTCTAGATCTATAAAGAGAATCCATACATCCTGTACACACACCTTGTACACACTCTCTCTAACGGTCTCTAGGCTACACTGCAATTGATATACATTAGCTCAAATTTTCGGGCAAGGCCCATCATCAGGAATAAGTTTACTGTAGACAGAACAGGGGTTTATATATATGTGACAAGTACTAGTGGCCAAAATGTGATGGTATAGCAATACCACAGGAAGCGAGATTGTAATTCTGTGTGATATGTATGAAGTGAAAATATAGTGCAGTGATAGTGCAGGATTACTAGCGTGAGTACAAAGCAGAACAATACACACTTCTAGCAACACTCACACACAAACATACACACACACACAGTGCACACATTCTTGCACAAATTATGGTAATGACAGACATATTTACACATCACCCAACAGTCGCCAACCATTGAAGTATTGGCTACAGTGGAGTCTCCAAACCTTGAGAAAACTATAAAGAGAAGAGTACAAATAAGAGAAACAAGCATGCACAATGGGTACACACACACACACATACAAGATAACACTACAATACGTTGCTAGATCATCTACATATAGGTTGAAACTTTTCGACCTTCAAATGACTTAGAAATGTTCTCTCCAATTAGAAAATTCAAAGAGTGTAAAGAGAGCATGCGTGAAAATACCTAAGGATGTGTGCAAGTGGATCTCTCGGATTTCCCTCCATATTTGCAGGTAAGTCCCTTTCGGGTGTAGATCGATTTTGCAAAGCCGCTGAAAAAATTCTGAAGGGAACCTTGAAACTTGCATACCCTTCAAAATGGCCGACTTATCACTTTGTTTATGGGTCTAGAAACTTGTAACGCCATAGCGAAAAAGCAACGAACAAAACTCCATCAAGTCAACATTGCCACACCTTAGAAGAGTTCATGGAGCAGGACCGCTTGTCCATGCCAGGATCCCAGAAGACCAGGTCCATCACGCCCTGACGCTACAAATGATCGTCTTGAAAATTGCCAATTTAAAAGCGCTGCCAAAACAGCCTGCTACGTCTAAATTGGCAAGAAGTATACACCGGCAGATAGTAGTACACCTCTTCTAGTGCTGAGGACATGTCCCCCACCTTCCTTTTGAGTTTTTAAGTTAACTTGAAACGAAAGAGCTTGGAAGCTCAGGGCCCTACGCTATGCTTTGTTACCTAGCTTATCATACGTGTTATTAGAACTGATGGAAATGTTTTTTTCCCATTGATTGGCTACAGTATTCTATTGCAAAAACGTTTCAATCAGTTTGATTATTAGTTAGGCAAAAGTAATTGCAGAATTTAATGGGGCTTGCTAATTTCTTCCACTTCATCCACTTTTGGTTTACTGCTTCTTTTAATTTTTATCTCCTTATAATCGCATTTGCGCTTGTTACTCGCCTTAAACGCCCGTTGCCGTTGGTCTGGAAGTGATCACACTCGTGTTGTTACTTCCCTCAAGAACAGGCTGACTGTATTGAAGGCCAACGAACCGGGACTTTCACTGACCATGTAGATCGAAGACCAGTGAAATGATGAGGCAATCACGTTCTTTATGACGTCAGAAATCTCTCGTGCAGTTCATGCAACAAGTGCGTGCAGTCAGTGCGAGTGCTCCCTTGCCAGTCAACACAAAGCGAGGGAGCTAGCAGCTTTTGTCGAGCATCGACATGAAAATAAGGGACTTTTACTGTTGGACTATGTTCGAGATTACAGGAGTTAAGTGTGAAAGATGCATAACTCTCCCTGCTGTCCGGGGGGGGGGGGGGGGCATTTTTCAATGGCTTGCTGCCATTGCAACACTCCTAGGGCAGTTTGTGGGGGTTCTCAGCAGATCAAGCAGGAAATGCAGCTCATCTTACCTCAGCCATCACAGTCTGTTCCGAGTAGCGTTCCAGGCACGATCGCGATCGATGGCCGCGTGTCGTGATCCATGATCCAAGAATTGTCATCCTACGTCACAGAGCACGCAATCTCACCGTGCATCTTGCAATAAAATTCAATAACTGCGCCCAGGACTTCAGTTACTTTTGCATCAACGGCGCACCAAAAATAGTTGGTGGCGCAAGGAGAAGCTTGTCGGTTGGAGTCACAAGTGATCACCGCTGCTTTTCCTTGTCAGAGTCAACAATACACTTTGTTCTGTGTTGTTGGGAGTAGCGTTGGAGTAGAGTTTGTTGAGGAGATGTCGCGGAGGGGCTAGCTTTCCTGCGCAAGTATGATTCTGGCCGTATTTCAGCATGGTCGAGTGGAAAAATTCAAAATTGTTTATTTCAAGAAAACCCCAAAAGGAAGATGGGGGACATGTCCTCAGCGCTAGAAGAGGTGTTCTACTATCTGCCGGTGTATAGTTCTTGCCAATTGAAGAAGTAGCTGGCTGGTTGGACAGCACTTGTAGATTGGCTATTTTCAAGACGATCCTCAGCGCTAGAAGAGGTGTTCTACTATCTGTTGGCTTGATGGAGCTTGACTCGTTTCTAGACCCATAAATAATGTGGTATTTCGGCCATTTTTGAGGGGTGTGGAAGTTTCAAGGTTCTATTCAGAAACTTTTTCAAGGGCTTTGCACCATCGATCCACACCCCAAAGGGAACCTACCTGCAATTTTTGAGCGAAATTGGAGAGATCCACTTGCACAAATACTTTGGTATTCTCAGACATGCTCTCTTAAAGAATTTCAGCACTATTTGAACCTGCAACCACAAGATTCCAAAGCACCTACCTTGACCACTCAGCCACAGGGGTAGTGATGCTGAAGTTCGTTGAAAGATGTGTCTTAGGTCTGGATCACCCAATACTGCCTACACATAATACTAAACTATAGTATACTGGCATACTAACTAGCTATTTTCGGACCAGTATTTCAGGCCAAAAACGAATGTATGGTGTAGTTTTACACAGAATAAACACCCTGCATTGTTTTAATGATAATTATACTGTTGATAAAAACTGCATTTCATTTTGGGATTTTTTAAGCAGTGTTTATATTCCCATCAACGCTACGACATTACTGTTTATCATACACAAGGCAGAACAACAGAGACAAAACATCTTTCTCCTTACTCCAAGTTTCGTGTTGAAACACTCATCGTCTGGTGTTCTGCCTTGTGGAGTACGCCCAGCCCTTTTTGAGGTAGTGAGCACTATTTGCAGCACGGACTTCAGACACTTTGTCACTGTTTATTCTATACATATTGTGCGTGAATAAATACAGAGCTCCCACCGACTAGAGCAGAAAAATGCAGATGCAGAAGGATCTTCTATTGTGTACTTACCCTGGCAAGTTGGCGGTGAAGTTGACCAATTTCCACTTGGAAGACACACGGATGCGCTGCTGCCGGCTAAATTGTATCCCGAATTGCACGTAAAAATTGTTGCACCATTTATCTCCATAGACATACTGGCAATAGCTCCATTTAGAGGAGCAACTTGACTGCTACACAACACACCTACGAAAATACACAGGAAGCACCAAATATGCCTATCATCAGTTATTGTCAGAGGATCATGGTATAGATTTTCTTAGAGCTGAAATCTACAAGCCTGGACTATGTCAGCTGTCAGGGTTTGATTGCACCTTCTGTTATGAAATTAGTCATTCAAATTTGCAATTTCCAGTCTGCGGTGCGATTGCCTCAGTTGATCTCAGCTTTGATACAACCTAGGTATGAAAAATCACTACCGTATTTTACCGGTTGTAAGCCGACCCGGTTATAGGTCGACCCCCGTTTCCGGAGGTCTCAATTCTGCGTTTAAAGTGTTCACCCAACCAAGCACTACCGTTATATACAAACCACTCCCTGCTACTAACACATCAACAAATCATGTAAACATTCCATATTGGAGGGTATAACGTCCCAATCCTTGAAAAAGGCCAATAAACTGGCCAACATGTGTACACATGGTGCACTCATGCATGCAGGGCAGGTCATTTTTTGAACTATTCTGATAGCTCCCGGTTATAAGTCGAATCCCGGTTGTAAGTCGACCCCCACACTTTCTTCTTCTATTTTTAGTCGTAAAAGGTCGGATTACAACCGGAAAAATACGGTGCTTGTTTCCTATACAGTGTGGGACCTGCATTTGCAGTAAAAATTCAAAGTTTGATCAAAAATTACATTTGATACTCCTGAAGGTGGGGTCGTAAAGTGCTCGAGATTGCCATACTGTGAAGGTAAAGTCAGCACACTCATACCACTAGAACAATGGAACAATATTATTTTTATGACTTAAACGTCGTTTCCACGTGATAGTCATCAGAAATCGTCATCACACTGAGAGTGGGACAATCAAGGAAAGATATTTACGGCACCATAAAGTGAAGAGTGTTTGTTCTAAAACACACAATACAAGAAACACTAATATTCTAAAGCTAGCTAATATTCTAAAGCTATATTCTAAAGCTAGCTCACAACACGTGCCACACATACTGATGGCACTTGGGTCTTTTTCCCTCCCCCAGAGGACCAACCACGGTCAGTTTCTGGAAACTACCAGAGGTGAAAGAAAGTAATTAAATTTGGAAAGGATTGGGAGAACTTCAAATTCAAGGGATCGTGCCATCAGTATGTGTGGCACGTGTTGTGAGCTGCCTTTGGAGTGAAAAGCTTGTCAGCGCCTTCTGGGTTCAGCCTGGTCCCATAGCTCGGTGGTTGGAGCATTGCTCATGACAAGCAGGGTCCCAGGTTCGAGTCCTGGTGGGTCTGGCGTTTTTTTCTCTTTTCAGGCAGTTCACTTCCCCGACTGATCCCTTGAATTTGAAGTTCTCCCAATCCTTTCCAAATTTTATCACTTTCTTTCACCTCTGGTAGTTTCCAGACACTGACCGTGGTTGGTCCCCTGGGGGAGGGAAAAAGACCCAAGTGCCATCAGTATGTGTGGCACGTGTTGTGAGCTGCCTTTGGAGTGAACAGCTTGTCAGCGCCTTCTGGGTTCAGCCTGGTCCCATAGCTTGGTGGTTGGAGCATTGCTCATGACAAGCAGGGTCCCAGGTTCGAGTCCTGGTGGGTCTGGCGTTTTTTCTCTTTTCAGGCAGTTCACTTCCCCGACTGATCCCTTGAATTTGAAGTTCTCCCAATCCTTTCCAAATTATTATTATTATTATTATTGTAGAAGAGAAAAGGACATATAGATACGAGTTAATCGAGATGTCCTTTTCTCTTCTACATTTATTTATGGCTCAACATCCAAGTTTCAAATTATTATTATTATTATTATTATTATTATGCGGACTGCTGCGGACGGACCTGGCTTTCAGCCTTGTCCGCGACTCCGTCCTGATGGTTCGTGGGAGTCGCAGTGCATTCCGTGCACCTGGTCTGGCAGCGGATGTGGATACTGTTTCTGTGGAGGCCCGCATTCCCGCCACTACGTGCCGCTAAGTCCTGGGGTTTGCCGCTCTCCGGTCCTCTTTCATCCGTTCTCCCCTCTTTTTTTGGGGGATTCTTTGTACTTTGTCTTTCTTACTTAGAAGTTGCGACTTCGGCGGTAATGTCATGAAGTTGGTTGTTGGTTGTGAGTCAGTCAAGTGTCACGTTCGGCAAGAAGCGTGTGCTCCTCGTTGGAGCAACCAACTTTTTGTCTTTCTTGTTTTTCTTATTCCTTTGTTTTTTGTAGGACAGATTTTTGGTGTACTGATTTCGGTTGTTGTTGTGTCTGACTCTATTCCCAATATCTAATTCTGTGTTTGGTTTTCCAACTCATTGGGTTGTAGTTTCCATCATGAGTTTGATTCCATCGTGAGTTTGATTCCATCGTGAGTTTTGAATCTATTTGCTATTTTTCGTTCCATTTTTGAGCTCACATCTATCTGCTTTTTTGGAGTTATTGGCCTGGACAAGAGGCTTCTTTCCAATAATAATAATAATAATAATAGTAATAATAAAAATATTATTTTACAAGAAGTCGGAGGCGGATCATACTTTAATAACGAAGGTACGTGTTGGGTCGTACGTGTTGGGTCTTAAGTATCCACGCAAACACACATCCAGTCAAAATAAGGCACTTGTCAAAGTATCGGAACGTTTTCGGTCCCTTCGGATACTTTGACAAGTGCCTTATTTTGACTGGATGTGTGTTTGCGTGGATACTTACAACCCAACACGTACCTTCGTTATTAAAAAAATTATTATTATTATTACGCACACACTCATGGCCAAGGCCAATCAAGGAGGAGGTGAGGGCGATTATAGCCAGCCATGGCAAAAGAAAGAAGAAGAAAAAAGAAAAAGAAAAACAGGTGCAAATCAGAACAACAGCTGTTGTGAACCCTCTGGTTCTCTAAAGTATCAGGAACGAACGACCCCACACGGCACGAGGACAACTATTTATTCTCAACAGTATATTTCACTTCCATCGACTAATAACAATGAACAATGACTGTATGAACAACTGAATGAACTGAATGACTAACACTAAAACCACCAGGTAGTTATAGCGTGAAAATGACAGCGTATATGAGAAAAGCATACACATACAACATACAACTACAGCGCACTCAGCAAACCGCACATAGCGCATGTAGCGTATACTACGTCGTAAACATCAACGGTACGGCGGAGTCGGAATACAACTGCATTGGAACGAACACAATGTCACAAGCGAGAAGGCCTTTCACTCTCGAGAACTTGTGGTTTCACAACATTCTCCCCACCAAAGGGCTTCTCACCGCCGTACAACAACTCACAAGTCAAACGATTTGGGGCTTACTACGCGTCATCTTCTGCTGCGGTGGTGGCCATGGTAGAATATCACTAATGCCCACCACTTCAGACAACTCGACATCGCGAAGCTCGCCGCTGTGGGCTGTCGCACACGACACTGTTACCGATCCACTTCGACATGGGGCGGACGCTGAACCAGACAACACACAACCGATACTTTTACCAAGCTCGCCGATGTGGGCTGTCATACACGACACGGTCACTGGTACACTGCTTCGATCCGGGGCGGGCGCGGAACCCGAGAACACACACCCGATCTCTGTGTTCCACACAGTCTCGCCGTTGACCTCTTCCGTGCTAACCAGTAGTATCGCCCTTCTCGTTTCCTTATCTTCTACGCCTTGCGCTTTTATGTCTTGCGCCTCTAACTCTTGCGCCTCTAACTCTTGCGCCTCTAACTCTTGCGCCTCTAACTCTTGCGCCTCTAACTCTTGCGCCTCCAATTCTTGCGCCTCTAACTCTTGCGCCTCTAACTCTTGCGCCTCTAACTCTTGCGCCTCTAACTCTTGCGCCTCTAACTCTTGCGCCTCTAACTCTTGCGCCTCTTGCGCCTCTACGTCGTTCGGCCGAGACTCCAGCTGCTTCTGAGCGTCTCCGACCGATGTCACCATGCACTGCACCGACCCAGTGGGCCTTGGATCTGATCCTCCCACTGGCTTCGAATACTCTTCTGACCGCTGCTTGTCTGTAAGCAAAGTCTTACACGCCTTGTCCGGCGTCCTTCCGGGCGAGGCAAGCAAATCTCGCTTTGCTTCCTCATAATATGTACCGACGGCGATGCGCTCGGCCATCTTCTTGAGCTTTTCGTTAAACTCTGTGCGGAGCGCACACTCTTGCCTTCTAGCACTGCGCTCTTCAAACTCCTCGCTCTGTCGGAGCCTCTTCTCCACGTATTCTCTCAACCTATCGCCTTCAAATCCATACCGAATTCCGTTGGCGATAAAGCTGGCTTCGATGATCCATAGTTCCTGTGCCATGCTCGCTTCGTATCCTGGCGTGGTCGCCAAATGTTGTGAACCCTCTGGTTCTCTAAAGTATCAGGAACGAACGACCCCACACGGCACGAGGACAACTATTTATTCTCAACAGTATATTTCACTTCCATCGACTAATAACAATGAACAATGACTGAATGAACAACTGAATGAACTGAATGACTAACACTAAAACCACCAGGTAGTTATAGCGTGAAAATGACAGCGTATATGAGAAAAGCATACACATACAACATACAACTACAGCGCACTCAGCAAACCGCACATAGCGCATGTAGCGTATACTACGTCGTAAACATCAACGGTACGGCGGAGTCGGAATACAACTGCATTGGAACGAACACAATGTCACAAGCGAGAAGGCCTTTCACTCTCGAGAACTTGTGGTTTCACAACAACAGCATTAGTGAGGTTTTGCATTCCGAATTTCGGTTCGGCGTTCTTCGGTCTTTTGTCGAACATCAAAATGGCGAATTTTCGCACCAACGTTTGTTTTGCAAGTCGAAAATGATGTGTTTTCATTTCGTGAGCCCCAGCATCAGCAACGTCCTGTCCCGTGCTCCTTTTCTTGCTGATTCCAACGAACTTTCATCGCGCAAAGAGTCGAGGGCCAAACCTGCCTCCTCAGTCGCCTCAGAAAAACCAACTCCATGGCCAAGTCAAATTTTATGCGTGTCGCCATAGTCTTTTCAGCCACACAGAAGACGGTGAGGACACTGCAGGCGAAAGAGAATCGACAGGCAGTGGAGAGGAGCAATCAGAGGTAGCTGACGATGCTATGTTGCCAAAGGCACCTGCCAAGCGATGCCGAGATAAGAAACCGCTTTGAACGAATCACGCGCTAGCGCTCTTCTACAAGAAAATGCATCCGAAAAATATTTTCGGCAAAGTGAACTTTTTCCGAACAAACACTCCGAATCTTCGTGTGCATTTTCGACCTCGCTCCCGCGTGCCGAATCTTTTTGCCGAATTTCGGAATGCAAAACCTCACTAATAAAAGAAGAGATTGGGCTGCAAATCAAGTTGTATTATTAGGTTTAAACGTTTACGGGAAATGGTCCGAGAGATCACGAACAAAGGCAGAAATGTTTTCACATGATGGAATTTTTGGGGAAGTGAGTCCCAGAGACAATAGCTAATGAAAACAGGCGAGCGACTGTTTTCATTAGCTATTGTCTCTGGGCCCGTCATTGAGTGACTTCTTGAAATAGGGAATTTTAGTTTATTACGACTTGACGAAGAGGAGTTAAACCAGTTAAGTGTATGTTGAATATGCATTGGGGCCTTCAGCAGTGGATATATCGAAACAATATTGCTCAAACCTGAAAATGGGGGTGCCACTTATAATCGAGTGCGACTTATAATCGGGGAAATACGGTATTTCGATCGCATAGCGGTCATTTTTTTTTTAAGGAAAGAACTGAGAAATGCAACTGGAAAATGACGTATGTCATGTGTGAATGTGTTGGCAGTGAGTCAGGAAATCCCCTTGCGGGCGTTTCAAATTCATGCCGGCGCGATCTGACTTGTGCCAGCAAATTTCGCTCGAGTGTTATAACTCTGCTTCAGGACCTCAGATCGTCTTTGAGTTCGTCCAAGCCGACAGCTGAGGCCTTCCTGATACGAATACACCTTTCCACCGTTGAACTCGGACAACGATAGATGAACGAGAAATGATTTCGCGTGCAACATCTGGCCGCGGCCAACTACCCTTCAATTTGCATGATGTTGATAGTGCTGTGTATGGCTCTGTGTCTGCCAGTGTATGCGGAGCGAGGAAGAGAAGTGCCTTTGCAAAAATGTACTATCAGAACATGAATCACTGGTGCAGAACCAGTCACATGCAAGTACTTTCACTTTTGCTTGTGGTATTTTAACCTCTTTTAACGCCATGACATTATAGGTGAGGCTGGCCCTACATTCGAATATAGCGCCAATGCGTTTTGAGCGGAAGCCCGCTACAATGGGAAAGGTGAATCTGAGTTTTGGATCCGTGTTTTACTCTCTCTCTCTCTGAGATCAACAGTTTTATCGGATGTACTATATTGCCCAGAACCTGCGAAAACCAGGCTTAGGGTGAAATTTCACAAAATGACTTTTTCCCATTTTCAGCTTCTACTAGGCATGGGAGGTCAGGAAACAAAATATTACAGGTGTGGGTCGACTAATAGTGGTATTAAATCTATCTCAAACACACTAGGGTATTGTGTAAAAAGATCCCAAAAAAACACCAAATTGTTATCACAGGAAAGAAATGAAGAGAGATGCACCAGACTGAAGGAAGAGACATGGATGATTTTTTGTTTAGGTGACATGACAAGGTAGGCATGTGGGGGCAGGCTTGTTGTGGCCCCTTGGTGCTGCAGGCTGTAGTGGCCATGCACAGTTCTGCATGAATTTTGTTTGCTCCTCACTCAGCACATTCTGGGGCTGAATGCATGTGCTGGCATGCTCTGGGGCTACACACCACAAGGAAACCCGACTACAGTTGAGATGGCACCTTTTGACGGGTGAATCTAGTTCAACTGTTCAGAAACAAGCAAGAACACAGCAAACTGTTCCACTGTTCATAGTAAGCGCATAGTGTGCTGGCGTGCTGCAGTATCTGCTTGGTGCTGACCAGCAAGTGAAATATCGGCACGCTGTACAATCCCTTGCAGCTAGCTGACCAGCGAGGAAAGTCTCGAGTGGGGGCCTCTCGATCTGCTCGCTCATTCGCCTGGCCTCCAGTAGCACTTCATCGCCAAGGACTTCAATTCAAAACAGTTTTCACACTGCGCTTCAAGCCTTTTTCCTCGTGAACTTGCTGCAAACGTATGAGCTCTGCTGCGCGTGTTCCTTTTGCGTGAGGCCCAGAAACAGCTAGTATCGCCGTACTTCGATTGGCTGGATCGATGTCGTCCAGGTTCTCCTCGCTATCGCCATCACGACTTTAACTGGAGACGATTTCTTCACAATTTTCCGCAAGCGGCAGCTAGGGCAGAAATTTCGCCATCCCTGAGTGTAGGAGATGGAATCCGTTCGATCAGCTCAAAAACTCTTCGTTGTGACTAGAGGAGTAGCAGGGAATATTCTACCGGAAGCCCTTTGACTTCCCTGACTGCTGAAACCCTTCCTGCCATGACTGCTACTTCTTCAAACAAGCGAGATTCTCTTTGGTTCCACTTCACTGCACTCGATCGTCCACGCGACACAACCTTTTTACAAAACATCAATTTTCTCAAAAAAATGATTTTCACCTTAAGCCTGGTTTTCGCAGATTCTGGGCCATATACAGGCACTCACTTTGAGCTAACATTTGCTTAATTATTTAATAAAAGAATTAGGTAAAAAACGGAAGAAGTACTGACGAATGCATGTAGGTGGTGTTCCAGACCATGCTCCAGTTGTTTGACAGACAGTTGTTGTTGCTCCAGATAGTTGATATCCGGTACTGCACGAGTATGTTCTGATCGCGAAAGCATTCCCACCACCACTAGACACTGCGCCATTTACCGGAGACGTTGGATTTGCAGGACATTGAATTCCTATGGAAACATATCCAATCAACAGGCATTGTAGAGTCACTGGCTCACGCTTGGAAATTCCAGAATATTCGGTTACATCACACGTCTTCCGTCTTAGGAGTCATGTTTGAGAAAATCAAAGTATGTTTGCAAATCGAAAAAGGTTGATCAAACTGGGAAGCTTAACTGACGAGGGATGAATTCCCTTGAAGCCAGTTGCGAGTGAGCAAAATGTCAATCCAAGGTGAGCATACAACCTTCCTACAAGTATATCTCCCAAGGTTCTTCATTTATTTTCGAAGTTTTGTGCAAAGCGGTGAATTACAACAAACGGGTAACGTGGGTGAGGCATTGCAAATGACCAAGGGTTCTCTGACCCTTTTTTTAAAGTCCATGATCGTCACTGCCTCAGCTCTCTATCTAAATCTGGTTAAATTATGGTCTGGACAGGGGTGCTGATCAGATGTTTCTCAGCCTGTTGAAGCTCAACTGACGACTGCAATTCATGAAATAGTGTGTACAGAGCACAGGTGTTGCATTCTCATGCAGGTTTGCTAAGTGAAGCGGTTGATTTGCTCCGTAGGATAATAGCGAGTCAGACAATTGATAGCCTAATGCGGCGAAAAGCGCAAGCTCCAGTATCAGGAGTCACAGATAATGCAAATATTGACAAACCCAGCTTTGCAGGGTCTGAAACATACAAATCAACATATGATGCATTGTGCGCATTGCTTTCAAACCTTACTTTTACATGTCGGCAGTGGGGTTGACCAAGCACCATTCGCCATGCATACAGTTGCACTGCTTCCTATGAGTTGATAGCCATCATTGCATGCAAATATGGTCACTCCATAAGGTGATGTGGAGCTGCTGACTATTGAACCACTTGTTGGTGAGATAAGTGCCGGACACGTTCGCACTGCAATTTACACAATAAGATAATAACAAATGCATCATCCACACATATGGTTTATAATATAGACATCCGTAGAGCATCCACCTGTCCCCATTTTGAGAAGTTATTTGCGGTCGCTTAGTGGATATTTTCGCAGAAATATGGGCAACAATGAATGAGTTATTAACCCTTTGTGAGTCCACTGGTTTCGGAGAAAATGACCAAATTTTCCATTCCGACAATAATCCCCTGTAACTCCACAGTTTTTGAGAATTGACGATGGAAGTCAGCCACTGTCATTCCAGTGTACAAAAATAAAGGCGACAAGAACAACCCGTCTAATTACCGACCAATCTCCCTCCTGTCCTGCGTCTCCAAACTGCTAGAGAGAATAGTGTACGACCACTTGTACGACCATATCTCCCCTCTTCTTCACCCCGCACAATCTGGCTTCCGTCGTAAGGACAACACATCCCTGCAATTATCCCGCATAATCCAAGACCTCTTCTCCCTAAAAGACCAGCGGCAGGTCTCCTGCATCTGTTTCTTCGACCTGTCCAAGGCCTTCGACACCGTGTGGCACAAGGGCCTGATCGCCAAACTTCGTGCCCATGGTGTCTCCGGCTCCCTACACGCCTGGATAACTAGCTACCTCTTCGACCGAAATCAGTGCGTCAAAGTAAATGGAACCTTATCTGACCCCGAGTCTGTGACATCCGGAGTGCCCCAGGGTTCCATTTTAGGTCCCCTGCTCTTCCTCACATACGTTAATGACCTCCCCTATTCAATTCCCAATATTTCTTTGTTTGCAGATGATACCACTGTCCTCGCTTCCTCCCCATCTCACGCCACCCTGTACCCCAAAGTTCAGACCTGTATCAACGACATTGTTCACTGGATGAGCACTTGGTACTTTAAGCCAAATGTGACCAAAACCGAACTCCTAGTTTTTCCCCCTCCCACAGATCCAGTGCCCATCTTCCACTTTCCCGATGATCCCGATCACCCTATCTCTGTAGCGCCCCACCATAAACACCTTGGCATTGTTATAGATTCCGCCCTCTCCTGGTCTCACCATGGTGATCATGTGTCGTCCAAAGTATGCCGATCTGTCGGCATAATGTCAAGTCACTTGTCCCATTTGCCCCAAAATTGCCGGATTAATTTTTATAAATCATACATTCTTCCCCTCTTCACGTACGGCTTCCCTGCCTGGTCCACCACTAACAAAACCCACATAGGTAAATTAGAAGTTCTCCATCGCCGTATACTGCGCATCATATTCCATACTGATCGTTATATCCCAAATCTAGACTTGTATGCTGCTGCATCTACTACCACTCTGCAACATTACCTTGATGCTTTCAAGTGCACCCTGGCACATTCAATTTTTCTTGACCAGCACCCTGCTCATTTACAGTCCCTTAATTGGTTCAATTCAGGTGGCACCACCCGAAGCTGTGTTTGTCTCCCCCTAGCTAGGTCTACCCTATTCGTCAATTCCTCTTTATTTTCCTCCTACTCCACGTGGCTCCAACTGCCTCCCAGTGTTAGACAAGCTCCAGATATGCCCAAATTCCGTACCCTCGTCAGACAGCACTTCAGTATCTCCCAGTAAACAAAGTCACAGTCCCCACTTCCACTGCATAGCTCGCTGAGCATCCCAGTGCTTTGTAAGTTGCTAATCCCTTCCCACTTTTTGTACGTGCTCTTCATTTTCTTTTTTTCTCTTCTTCCGTGGTTGGTCTCACCCTCTCCTCAATTTAATTGGCTGTCTTGACATGCCACGAGGTGCAGAAATAAATAAAAAAATTAAAAAAATTGTTATTACAATATGGCAATAAGTAGGACGAGCTGAAGCGACATGTGGATTACTTCATTAACAATGTAAGCGATGGAGACGATGCAAGAAACAATCTAAAGGGTAAGGAAAATACAAGTAAGAAGAAAAAGGGCAATGTAAAAAAAGTTATTGTTATTACAATTTGTGTTTATCTGAATGGAATTGCTCAGCTGAATCAAAAAAAACTTTGTTAGAATGTTTCCATGGTTACCTGTGTTGCCATATTAGGCACATATTGTCATAATCAAGTCTATAGACGCGTTATTTACAGAGTGCACCATGGGAAGGAAATAAAACCATACTTTTATGTACAAATATACAGTAGACGAGATAGAAACTCACAGCACTGAGATAAGATATCCTTCACGGGAAGTGGCATGCATGGTAAGCGGCGTAGCAGTCGTGGTCACTCGTGATGTGGAGGTGAACATTGCACGCAGTGCAGTCGGTTACACACTGGTGCTGCTTGTTACCCACTTCTGTGCAGTTTCTGCAGTTCTTCCTTTTCCTCACTCCAGGTATGTGAAGCTGAGCAACAGGAACCTGGACATCCTGCGGAACAGGCACTGGGCGGTACGAGCGCCTCGGTGGCGGTGCATGCTCATCAATCGATGACAGCTGCCGGATGAGGTTACAGCGTAAATCCGAGTGCTGCAAGTTGCATCGTCGACTTATCACCCCTGGATGCTGGCTCTGCCACAAGTGAAAGAGGCGGTATGCATTGACAGCACACACATCGACCATATCCAAGAAAAGACTCTTCCAGTATTTCTTGTTTTTTTTTGTTTTTTTTACGAGACACCACGAACCTCGAGAACAGAATACTGCATGATAAAGGTGGTTGCAGACGCAACTGTGGTGGTGAAACTGGAGCGTCTCCACTGACCTGAGGTCTCGGCTTCAGCGACACTTCAGAGCACCAAAAACTGGGGAGGAGTAGGCACAGGGGGAGGGGAGGGGGGTACATTTATATAGAGGAAGGAAAAACGGAAAGATGATACATGTGATAGAGGAAGAAAAAAATTATAATAAAAAAATTTGCGAAGCACATGGTGCGTTTCGATCAGCTGATCGAACGTGTCGACTCCGCCCATGCTGCTGTTGTAGTCTCTGATGCACATTGGCCTCTGCACTTCCATTTGCTGGTGTGCACCATCAATCTTGACATTTCTTGTTACTGTGTCATGCTCATGGCCCTGATGTATGTTGCTGTACATTGACACACACCGCTTGTCCTTCCATTGGTGGTACAGGTGATCTCCGTTGCGAACGTAGCGTGTTGCACCTCGCTCTGCATGTTTCTCAAACTGTTTCATGTCGGTCCGCAATACGGCTGGAAATCCAGTGCGGTTCGCGCGGATGGTACCAACCAACGATATTTGCTTGGTACGAAGAGATGTGGCCAGGGTTTCGGAAGTGTAAAATTGTCCGTGTAGATCACACTTCCGGCGCGCACGTCACTGACCAGCCGCATCAGCCTTCAGGGTCACAGTAGGGTTACTGCATCTAAGCACTGTGATTCAGTTGCTCAGTACAATTGTGGACGTAGCAGCACAATTTATGGTTTCTGGGAAAGCTCTTTCCTGTTTGTCATCTTCCACGTGCTTTCAGAGCATACAGCACCTAAAGGACGCCCCTTACATCGCCAACAGTGTCCCTATCGTGCGTCAGATTGGCATCAAGACAACGCACAACAATTCCCTACAATTCTGGGCTCATACTCAATGTAGAACTATGATTAAACTGTCCCGAACCCGTTAGATTCAATCGATTCAAACGGTGTACTCATACGTCATGTGGCCTTTGACACATCATTGCTAAATCGCCTTAAATGCCTTGAACATCGCAAAAAAATCCGCCGGACATAAAGTATTGAGGCCGGCGTTCAATGTACCGGCGCTCGATCATTTGTTGAGCTACTGCCACAGCTCTGGAAAGCCCTGTCCAAAACCGTTCCAATGTGCTATTGGTCATGGCGATGCAATATTCCGTTTTAGAATTGTGGCTGTTTGTACAGTGATCTATCCAGTGCGTACGGTATGTAAACTGTATAAAAAATATCGAGCGAGTTTCATCATTGTTCAGTTGTGATGGGGTATCCATGAAGAGTATACTCGTCATAAACCCGAAAAAATGTTCAAATTAACACTTACATGTGCATAATGTTCTATGTTACAGCTAGTTTCTCGGGATCACCACTTCACCTTGCTGAGCATGTCACCCGGCCAATCACTCAAAACCATGCATGTGTTATGTACAATATATACACCAAATAAGGAGCTTGTCAAGACATGAAAAACAATGTGATGAAGGTAAAACACTGGTTCAAGATTTGTTTGAAAAAGAAAGTTGATTCAACTTACATGTACACGTAGGAAGAGAAGCACCACTAGGCCACTGACCACCACTATCGCAAGTGATTGTGGCTGTCCCTGTTATTTCATACTGTGGAAGACATGAAACACTTGCGGTACCTCCAATTGTAAAACTAGCCACAGTGGCGCTGACATATCCATTGGTTATCAAAGGTCGTGCAGGGCATGTAGTTGGTGAGGGTCACGCGGAGGTGCTTGTGTGTGGATAAGGGTGTTAGTGCCTGCTTGTCAAAGATGACAGGTGGGCCATCACAATTCATGAGCACTTGTGTTTCCTCTGGAGCAAATCAAACATTTCTAAGGGTTGCCCAATTCTGACAAACTTCACGATCAGCTGTGAGATTCTGACGGAGGTAGGTATTGTCTCGTGGAGTGGAATGTGTAAGAAATAGAGTGACATCATCAGCGAAGATGTATGGTGTTGAGTGCTTTATAATTAGGGGTAGGTCATTGATGTGTACAAGAAATAAAATTGGAGCAAGATGGGAGCGTTGAGGTACACCAGACGTAAGTACTTTGGAAGTGTATTTAACACCTTCATTCTGGACAGAATAGTGGTGAGAATTCAGGTAGCTCTCTACCCATTTACAGCTCCGAGCGCCCTCGATGTTCTTGAATTTTGCAAGGAGGACTTGATGGTTCACACGGTCGAATACCTTCTGGAAGTCCAGAAATCCACACATATAATCACGATTGCTGTCCATACAATTAGCTGATCTGTAGTAGATTTGTGAGGGGTGTAGGCGAACTGTTGTGGAGTTATGTAGCCGTGGTTGTGGCAAGATGTTGGGATAGGTCATAGCATATTAAACTGATGTTGCTGATCCACCTGATCGTACAGATTTTGGTTTGGTTTGTATTTCATAACTACCAAAGCAATAATGTGATATTTTGGTGAGAATATAATTATTTGGTTTTAGCGTAAAGCTCGATCAAATCCGTCGATCTGATATGTCACGCGGTGGTCGGCGCACGGCCAGTTTCCGGACGCAAAATATCGTGCTTCGATCGCCAAAATCGAGATTTTTTCAATATTTTTTGCACTTCTGCAGAGCTTTGCTGCTAGTGAAATTCGAGTCGATCAGGGAAGGAATTTGTTGTTGTTTGGAGTGACAAGGGTTGTCAGGTCAAATTTCTTGTCAGACTCAGTAGAGGTGACCAAGCTGCAGTGTTTGGCGTGCTGGTGTCTGCAGCGGTGCCTGGTGTTGGAGATTGAGGAGGCGCTTTTCGTCGTCTGGTAGAAAACTGGCAATGTTGGAATGTGGTGAGGTGAAAATATTCAAATTTTTTTATTTCCAGAAAACGTGGAACTCTTTTTACGAGACATGTCCTGGGTGGTAGTGGAGATAGTCCACTGCCCTACATTGCATGCTTGAGAAAAATAGATGCCGTAAATGGTTCCTGATAAGGCCCTTGAAATTTGGTTTTATATTTATTATTATTATTTGCCTCTCCGCGTTTGCATCAGGGTGTGTTACTACAAAAATCAACAAATCAACATACAGAGGGTGTGCGCCTTAACCTGCAATAGTGCTCAAATGCCGGAATGGGCAGAGCGTAGTACGCAAGAGGTACACAAAACAACAAAAAACAGCCCTATATACTTCCTTTTGTGTACCTCTTGCAAATCAACATACTACACATCCACCCCTAGCATTCGCTCAGGCCGCTCAACAAGTCAAAAGACAGTAAGGACAAGAGAAAGCGAGGGAAGGGTCACAGAGCAGCGGGGTCGAAGGCAGGAAAAAAGAAACAGGAGGCAAAGGATATTGAAGAAATATATCAGATTGTCCATTGAATTCACCATACATCATGTCATGTTCCGTTTGGCCAAATCCGGGCATTCCTCTGCAGGTTCAGGTGCGGAAAAGCTGCCACCATACTGCTCTGTCCTCTGCCAGGTCCCTGATGTGTGAGAGATCTTTATTCGTCTGCAGCTTCATTCCCTTTGTTGCGAGGTCCGTTCTCAGTATTGTTGGGAGTGTGGAAGGCGGCCGGCCACGGAATTTTTTCTCGTCCTTTGTTTGCCGGAAGTATGATGTCATGGCCATTTGTGCTGGGGACTCCTTGTCCAGTCTGCAGATGTGACCGAGTAGTCGCATCCGAGCAGCTTTAACCAGGACAGTTAGGGGCTGTGTCTCTGTTCTGCGGTGGAGGTCATCGTTGCTGATTATCTGTGGGTAGCGGATACCCACAACAACTCTCAGGTGTCTCCGATATGTCGAGTCAAGAGTACACAGGTGAGAGTCTGAGAGGCCCCATGTGCCTGCGTTGTACATCAGCAGAGGCTTGATGAAGGCTTTGTAGAGCCTCACCCGTAGCTTTTCGGAGACCAGATGTCCGCGTGACCACAATGGCCACATCTTGTTGAATGTGCCCGAAGCAATCTGGATTCGGCGTGCGACATCCTCTTTGTCTCCAATAAGGGATCCAAGCTTGCGTGTGCGCCTCCACTCTTCCTCCACTCGGTCCTTCTTCCTCTGGATAGTAGTGTGTTCTGTTTTGGCTTGGTTAACTTTCAGGTCCCAGTCCGCGAGGCAGTCGCCAACAATAGGAAGGATCGAGTCCAGTTACTCAGAACTGGTGCTGACGAAGTCCACATCATCGGCATAACCTAGGGACGGCGGCAGGTTGAGGGTGATGTCTAGATTAGGTCGAGGTGGAATACAGGAGAAAACATGGCGCAGTGCAGTCTCGAGGTAGATGATGAATAACACGGGTGACAGCGAGTCACCTTGTGGGGTGCCAGATGTTGTTGTAAATGGTCGGCTTTGGGTATTTTTGATGCGTGCTGATAGTGTTGTATCTGAAACCAGGAGCTGGTCCAGGCGCACCTCATCTGGCTCCAGGAATGACCGCAACACATTGACGAGTTTCCGGCGACTAATAGTGTCAAAGGCGCGAGACATATCGATACCCAGAATACTTGGTTTTATAGCGATGCAATTTTGTGACATTTAGAGATAATGACCATTGCTTTCCTGGATGTAGCCATGGCTCTATGTGGTGGTGATGTGAAGACTACTCAGGTGAGGTGTTGGTATGGTGGTGGTTTGTTCTCAGCTCAATTGTGTACGCTGTACCAGCGCTCGTTCTTGGACCCACTATTTAGTCGTATTATGGGCCAATTTCGAGGTGGTCCACAGTTCCAAGGTGTCCGTGAGTTATGCAACGATCCCTTTTGCATGGTTGTTGTAACTTGCAAAATTTGAGCGAAATCAGAGAGATGGCCCAGCCCAGCTTTTCTGGTTTTCTCGGAAATGCTCTCATAAAGTCTCTCTAATCCCTGGCTCTCACTTGAAATCTGTTGAGAGGGTAAATGGCAATAGTATAATAAAAACAAGTAAATTTCACGGTTCGCGCGAGACTCGGCTGGAAGCCGAGTTTTCCACATCTGCCGCAGTGTAGTAAGCGAAAAAAATTCCCCAGGGTCGCCCTGATCCACAACCTGATAACAATCAGATCAGGATCTCGTGAACGTCAAATAACACGCATGCCACACAGATAGATTACATACGGACACATGTTGGTACAGGTGTGTTTGTGGTTGCATTCATGCAAGTGACAGTGGTGCTGCCAGATGGCTGATATCCACTGTTGCATGACGCCGTGTACACAGGAGCACAACCCGTTATTAAGCCGTTAGCTAGGGTTGGCGCAGGACATTTGTATGCTGGAGATGAGGACGAACACAAATATACAGACATACACACGAATTTACAACCATAACAAATACATACATACATCCGCATAACGTTACACACATATAAAGATTCGTTTCCCAACATGCACCCACATAAAAACACATCAAACTGCTATTTTAGGAACTGAAGAGAGATGAGAAGTAATTTGGAGGCATCCTGCAGCTTCATCCGTAGAGAGAAGTAGTGTGGACACACCCATTCCCACAGCACTGCAAAACAAACCGATTCATTTTATGCACATCGTTTCGGCAGAATTACCATCCTCAGGTAAGAAATGAAATAATGATGCCATGCCAGCCAAAAAAGAAGCAGGTTTATGCCAAAGTCCTACCGCCAAAACAGCATAATCCCGCATAATAGAATCAGTGGCAGAGTTGTAAGTGAGACATTTAACGCCAGCACCAAAACATATCGTAAAAACAAATCCTACCGCCAAATATAGGATGATCTGGCGCAATACGAATGACAGATACAGCGAGTTGAGCTTCAAAGCTGTAGGTGAGATATTCACCACCGGAACCAAAGCAAATTGTCATTTGTCACACAGTTAGATTCTAACTGGGGTTACGTTACAGTTCAGAAACCGAAAATGCTAACTATGTCTTGAAAACACACAAAAAACGGTATAGTTCCACGGTTAGGGTGTATGGTAGAATGCTAACCATGTCTAGTGGCAAAACTAGCAGTGTGATGTTACCTGCTGTTTTTGTTTCCCATTATCCTTTGCTTTCGTGTGGCACTATATTTCCCATGTTTTTTGCCAGATACAGGAACCATAGCAGTTGCTCTTCCATTTTATTCTTGGATATGGACCTGGAATTTGGATAAAAGTTATCTATCGTTTTTCGAAAGAATTTTAGCCGGCAGTCTGGAGGTGGTGTTTATTTGGATTCGAGATGAAGTGGCTGCATTTTTGGCCGCATATTATTATTATTATTATTATTATTAGTTTGAAACTCGGATGTTGAGCCATAAATAAATCTGGAAGAGAAAAGGACATATGGATACGAGTTAAGAGTAACTCTCCATCACTGTAACATGATACTATAATTATACAGTCAGAAAGTGCAATAACTAGGCACAAAACTGACAGAGTACTGAAACATTCGACGTCCTGACACCTAGCTTCAACACATCTCCGTAGCGCTAACCGACAGCCTTCCAACTTGGAAGGTTCAAGGTTATGGAAAAGACCAAAGAGGGGAAGGCAAGCGCAACGAAAACGAGCAAAAGCTACAGTCCCAACGGAACAAAGAATGTCGATTGTTACTGGACGATGACGAGACCAGTACGATATCTGACAAAGCGGTCTAACTACAATTCGAAGCAGCAAAGCAGCACACCACCCAACTTGGGTGGGTCATAAATATCAAAGATAAGTAAAGAAAGGGAAGCTTTGCGAAAACGAATTGTACAAGCCGAAAGCCAAACTCCTACAGTTCTCCTCATGCATGACATTGTGATGGACTAGTTGACTACAAAACAAGTTGTTTCACACGACGTACGTTTCGCCGTATGGTTCGTGACGGCTCATCAGGTGTGCAATTTGAAACTCGGATGTTGAGCCATAAATAAATGTGGAAGAGAAAAGGACATATGGATACGAGTTAAGAGTAACTCTCCATCACTGTAACATGATACTATACTTGTACAGTCAGAAAGTGCAATAACTAGGCACAAAACTGACAGAGTACTGAAACATTCGACGTCCTGACACCTAGCTTCAACACATCTCCGTAGCGCTAACCGACAGCCTTCCAACTTGGAAGGTTCAAGGTTATGGAAAAGACCAAAGAGGGGAAGGCAAGCGCAACGAAAACGAGCAAAAGCTACAGTCCCAACGGAACAAAGAATGTCGATTGTTACTGGACGATGACGAGACCAGTACGATATCTGACAAAGCGGTCTAACTACAATTCGAAGCAGCAAAGCAGCACACCACCCAACTTGGGTGGGTCATAAATATCAAAGATAAGTAAAGAAAGGGAAGCTTTGCGAAAACGAATTGTACAAGCCGAAAGCCAAACTCCTACAGTTCTCCTCATGCATGACATTGTGATGGACTAGTTGACTACAAAACAAGTTGTTTCACACGACGTACGTTTCGCCGTATGGTTCGTGACGGCTCATCAGGTGTGCAATTTGAAACTCGGATGTTGAGCCATAAATAAATGTGGAAGAGAAAAGGTGGTTAAGGTGGTTGGGTGGTGTGCTGCTTTGCTGCTTCGAATTGTAGTTAGACCGCTTTGTCAGATATCGAACTGGTCTCGTCATCGTCCAGTAACAATCGACATTCTTTGTTCCGTTGGGACTGTAGCTTTTGCTGGTTTTCGTTGCGCTTGCCTTCCCCTCTTTGGTCTTTTCCATAACCTTGAACCTTCCAAGTTGGAAGGCTGTCGGTTAGCGCTACGGAGATGTGTTGAAGCTAGGTGTCAGGACGTCGAATGTTTCAGTACTCTGTCAGTTTTGTGCCTAGTTATTGCACTTTCTGACTGTATAATTATAGTATCATGTTACAGTGATGGAGAGTTACTCTTAACTCGTATCCATATGTCCTTTTCTCTTCCACAATTATTATTAGTGTTAGGAAATTTGAGGCCACATGCCACGTACTGCTCTTTTCTCTCCGAAACTCAACACTTGCAAGCCAGATATGAAAGAAAGAAAAAATCATCAGTCACACCACCGGGACTCGAACCAGGGACCTTGCTATTCGCGAGCAATGCTCTAACCAACTGAGCTACAGTATGACTCTTATCCACAGCGATGGTAAATCTATCCTTCTTCGATCAATCAATATCTGGCTTGCATCATACTGGCAACTCACACCAATCAAGAGGGCCCTCGGCCATTCGCTTGATATCATGGGGAGCGCATCAAACTATGTCCACTGCGAGCAAATACAAAATTGCAATTTCAAATTTGGACTTCACGGAGAATTTTCAAAGTGTTAGGAAATTTGAGGCCACATGCCACGTACTGCTCTTTTCTCTCCGAAACTCAACACTTGCAAGCCAGATATGAAAGAAAGAAAAAATCATCAGTCACACCACCGGGACTCAAACCAGGGACCTTGCTATTCGCGAGCAATGCTCTAACCAACTGAGCTACAGTATGACTCTTATCCACAGCGATGGTAAATCTATCCTTCTTCGATCAATCAATATCTGGCTTGAAAAGAGCAGTACGTGGCATGTGGCCTCAAATTTCCTAACACTTTGAAAATTCTCCGTGAAGTCCAAATTTGAAATTATTATTAGTATTATTATTATGGAGTTGGCTTTATTTCACTCACGTTGTCATGACATGAGGTAAGAACCCCATCACCGGGCCAAAAGAGACCAAGGGTAATGAGAGAAAAAAAGAAAAAAAAGATAAATGGCCAACGCAATGAAGACCGAAGCAAAAAGGATTGTAAAAACCAAAGCAAAAATATTGAAAGCCGACGCAGAAACTGAGAGACGGACAGAAATAAGCAGAACGATGGAGGAGGCCAGGACATATTCGAATACAAAAAGATGGAGGAGGACAGGACATATTCGAATACAAAAAGAGTAATCACAAAAATGGACTACCAGTACAGGAATAGACCTGTAGAAATAGAAGAAGAGATGAATGCCGGACATACTCAAATGGCAAGAGAAAAATCAGGCTGTGAGAACCGTCATACTGCACATTCATGGATGTCAAAGCAAATGCGGTATTGGAGGTTTATACAGACTAGCTCTACCCGTAACATGAGGAGCCTAATGCCGAATGCCAAGAACCGACTTGACGATGTTCAGCGTGCCCAGGATAGCACACTGCTGAGCCCTTTCCATGCTCAGAGTGCCTGCCAATGCCAACACAAAATGTGAGAGGGACACACCAGTCAGTCCACCAAGCGCCCCAACAACCAGGGGCACAACGCGGACATCATCCACATGCCAGATGCGTCGCAGCTCTTGGCAAAGGGGAGCGTACCTTGTTATTTTTTCGGCGATTTTTGTGGGCACGTTCTGGTCCAATGGAACACTGACATCCATCAGCAGCACCTGTGTGCTGGACCGCAACACCAGGTCTGGACGGTTGTGGCGCACTTGCGTATCCGTTGGGATATTGAACTCCCACAGGAGCTTCATGTCAGGATTTTCCGTGACAGGCACAAGAATGATGATGCTTCAGCGGCTTGCTTCCCGGCTGACCCAGACCATGCCGCTTGCATAGTGCCCAATGCACCAACTTGACGAGCGTGTCATGCCGTTCGATATACAGTGTTTTGGCTAGGGCTGGGCAACAGGCCACAATGTGATCAACTGTTTCTCCGCGAGTGCCGCAAACTCGACAAATGTCCATAACGTCTCCCCGTCCAATGACCGTGACCTGATAGTGCCTGGTCGCAATGGCCTGATCCTGTACAGCCAGCAAGAGTCCCTCTGTCGCAGGCCTGATCGTTGGCGATTTCAGCCAGCGAAAATTATTATTATTATTATTATTATTATTTGAACAAACGGCGAGGAGACAACAATTTGATAACCGCAATCAGTAATACAAGCTGGATCGACATTTGTGTACACTGTATTCATGTATTGTAAAACTGTGGAGACAATGTGCAATAAAACGATGAAAAATGTGAAGAAATTGTGTAGAGAAAGAAAGGGATTCAAACAAGTTTTCGTACAACACTCATCAGGAATCATCGTTGTACTAGGTGTAATGTACTGCTGTTATGTGTTATCACGTTGTCTTTCCTTCCTTTCTCCTTTGTTCATTTCTCGCTTTGATTGTTAAAATTCACACTTGTAAATTTCACTGTTGTTGCTCTTAGTGTTATTTCTCTAACTTAGATTTTCTATAATAGTTCAATTTTTGTTTCAGTGTCCTTTAGTACAACGATGATTCCTGATGAGTGTTGTACGAAAACTTGTTTGAATCCCTTTCTTTCTCTACACAATTTCTTCACATTTTTCATCGTTTTATTGCACATTGTCTCCACAGTTTTACAATACATGAATACAGTGTACACAAATGTCGATCCAGCTTGTATTACTGATTGCGGTTATCAAATTATTATTATTATTATTATTATTATTATTATTATTATTATTATGCACTTACGCGTCAATGTCAGCGGACGCAGACACAGGATACAGGGCATTGTCAACTCCGTTTTGAAAAAAATCCAGTAAAATGGTGGCAGGTTGATGCAAATCCACGCACTACGTTAAGAGTGGAATTTTGTTGGAATTAAAGATGTAAATTATTGTTACCAAAGCAGTTATGAAAAGCAATAATGTGATATTTTGGAGAGATTATATTTGGTTTTAGTTGTAGACCCCACCATGGGACTTGCAGAGGTCCTTGCAAAGGTCCTTCCACTCCCCTCCGCCCTGTGCAATCTCCCGGAGGGAAAGGGGATCAGACAACGTCTTGAGTCCCCTCCACCCCACTTTCTTCAGGTCATGCACATTAGGCAGAGTCGTTCTTGGCCGTCCTCTACACACCTTTTCCTTCACCTGGTAGTAGTTAATCATAGCCGCCACAGCAGGACATCCGTCAGGCATGCGCAGCATATTGCGAAAGAGTCTGCATCTGGCTAGGCGAACAAAGTTAGTTATGGGTTGTGATTTTTACCTCCTGTAGAGAGGAGCATTGCTTATTGTTTGTGGCCACCTAATACCAACGAAACTATGCAACTGCCTGCGGTGTAACGAATCCAGTTAGGCCTCGGCCATTGAAGTGGGTGTCCAGGTGGCGCTGTTGTTCAGTTAGACTGGAATCACGAATGCGTTGTACAGCCTCAGTTTCAATTCTTCATGCACTAATGTCCTCCGTTTTCAAAGACTATACATTGCTCTGTAGGATGCTGTGACGAGCTACTTTTGCCTGGGGATGTCTTTGTCGTCACCAATCTGGGAACTTAACTTTTTCGTCATTCTCCATTCTTCCGAGACTCGATCCTGCTGCCGGGTGAGTTTTGTGTGTTCGGTCTTCTCTACGTTGAGATGGAGATACCATTGCTCGAGGACTGTTGCGGTAAGAGGTTCAAGCTGTGCTAGCCAAGCAGATGAAGTCCTGACAAAATCGGTGTCATCCGCGTAGGTGATTGTAGACTGGTAGAGTGTTATCTGCAGGACGAGCGAGGTGGGGCTGCGGCGACGACATCCCGCAGTGCCGCGTCTAGATAGACTACAAATAGCATAGGGGAATGTGAATCTCCCAATGGAGTGCCTATTGTGTGGAAAGGGGGTTGACTCGAAACTTCAAAATCGAACACTCAGCGTCGTGTTAGCGATGAGTAACTTTACCAAACGTACGTCATCCAGAAGTAGGGCGTTCTCCTAAACGGCCTGAATTCGGTGTCACTGAATGGTGTCAAATGCTTTTGATATGTCTATACCGAGAATTTCAATGACATACTTATTTCGGGGCTGTTGCTGCAAGCCATTTGTAACACCAAAATGCATCTGCCGTTGATCGTCCTGCCCGGAATCCGCTCTGGTTGTCACTGAGAAAGGTATTAACTCTATGTGAGATGCGTTTCAACGTGAGAATTGACCCCGCCTTCCTGAGGGCAGTTAGAAGCACTATGGGACGAAGATTTCCAGGTGGTTCCTTCTTTTTGTTAGGTCTTTGAAGAGCAATCAGTGCGCCTAGGCCGAGTACCAAGAAGAAAAGTCAGCCTATGCAACATCGATTATACTTGCACAGGTTTGTCCGGCTGTGCTTCACAATTGATCGCCATTTCGTGAGAGCAAAGTACTACTTATGGAAGAGCATCGTTTAACAACCAACTTACCTGTACAAGATGCCGTAGCAGACCCCCAGCTGCCATCCTGCCCGCATTCAGCGACTCTTGTGCCAGTGATAAAGTACCCTGGGTTGCAGGTGTAGAATCCTTGAGATGGAAAGACATTGCCTGACGGATAGCTTACTGTTCCATATGCGAACTGAAGGTTCTGTAGACACTTTGCGTTGGTAGGAGCTGAAGACAAGAACATGTATCATGTTTGTCCACCATTCTCTTTAATGAACCCAGTAAGTGCAAAATAAGGGGGTTTTCTCTCTCTACAAAATCCACATTATTATGTTAACCCTCTAAGTAACGTGGACGGCGTAAGGAGCCCATAATGAGTACCATATTTCCCCGTACACAGGGTTTCAACAAAAAATTAAAAAGTAAATAAGGGGAATGAACTCCAGTTATCACATGGCACGTGATTGTTGCCCGTACTCCAGCGAATCAGCACCTTTCGCGCCGCGGCCAAAGATATGCAATATTGCATGCAACAAAATAGTTTATTTGCCCCCAAAAAATAGTTTATTTCAGTGATTGCTAGATCCACTAGGTGCGTATACGACCACACTGTAGACTGTAGACTGTAGACTTGAAGTTGAACTTGCTGCTGTTGACCTAAGTAGGTATTATACATTATTATGCTGTTTTGTTTTTTTGCGTGTTTCTTCTTTTTTTCTTTCTTTCTAAAACTTTGAGTTGAAGTTTTCGGAACACTTGGGAAAACGAGCGAGGTGGGGCTGCGGCGACGACATCCCGTAAAAGAAAAGTTATAGAAATATCATAAGGAGGGGGAGGTGAGCGTTTGTGCTTATCTTGGTTGCGCTCACCTTCCCCTCCTTATGTTATTTCTATAACTTAGAACCATCCAAGTTGGAAGGCTGTTGGAGTGCGCATCCTAAATGTGCTAGAGCTGTTAGCCAGTTAGTTGTAGAACGTCAGTACCGTCGGTCAGTGTCGTGCAATGTCATAGCATGAGCTGCTTGGTTAGTAACTGGTGGTGTTAGTGGACAGTATAGCGTAACTTGTAGTTCCTTGGTCTTTCTCTTTTGTATAAATTTTACAAATAACTTCGTTTCTTCACTTTTACACACATGAGAGCAACAATCGACCTATCTATGCGTTCAGCAAGACCTTGGCAATCGATTCGGCACATCGGTTTTCTGTCAGTAAGGATAGATATAACCAGGGCAAAGCCGGAAGTGTGCTCGCTCGGACGAACAAAATTGTCGCAAGTAGAGAACGTGAAGCATGCACAACGCAGGTTTTTCTATTTTTTTAGTGGCAAACCATGATATTGTTTATCAAAAACATTGACATTTTCAGTGGGTTTCAAGTTAACTATATCCGAATTTCCTGCGTTGAAACTTAACGTCGTTGGAATTGGTCCCGCGAGTGGGAAAGCGCAAGTGCCAGGAAAAGGCATTTATCGAACTTCGTTCAGGAACCCTCGTGAGGAAGACGATTTTCTTTTCACTGTGGTTTGCCTGTCCTCCGTATCATTCCAGAAATCCATCATTCGAAAATATCCGTGGGGATATAACTGAGCTGCTTCATTTATGAAAACGTTGAGTTCATCTTAACTCCAAAAAATATATTCTTACACAAGTGGCACTAAGAGAGTCAATAGAAAGAAATATAAAACCCATTAATTTTGTAAAGTGCAGACTAAGAAAACAAGCTTGCGGGTCATGCGATTTGCTCTAAGGGAGCGCTCACACTGCGACCAAAACCAGCGTCCATGCGGCCATGCGGCCAAGTTACATGACAACGTAATGAACTTGTTTCCAATCGTAACCGCAACCTCCGGAGGGGGGTGCCGCCACTTAGCGGCGTTGGCGGCGACATGATCGTAGACGTAAAGCGTATTTGTGTACAACCTGGCCGGAAGTAGGTTCAATTTCTCAAATTTCGGTGTGTTGATTCATGAAACTCGGCCGTTGTCGATGTCATCCTCTTGCACTTTTTGTAGTTGCAGTCCTGCACGCGCGCACCGCCATATACATGATTGTATGTACTCTTTGCCCTTTTTGGACGATTTCAAATCTGTTTTTATTTGCTTCATTGTCAGTTGATCGTGTCGGTGACCAGTTTCTACAGTGTCCTCGTTCACTTTCGGTTTGGGAAATCATCCTTTTCTACTTTTCTGTGATGAAAGAATGCTATACCTCAAGAAATTCAGTTCCGTATCATACGAAAACACAGTTTTCATCTCAGCAACAAACAAAAGAAACGGAAACTACCTGCATTTCCACTGGCATTTGTTTTGACCACGCTGACAGGAAAGCGAAAGCGCTTGGATGTCAGCCTCTCAAGACTCAAAACCTACATGATATTAAGATTCCATTTCGTTGACTTCAAGAAACTTTGACGAGCCACGAAGCACTTCCTTCAACATGCAACATGCGAAAAATTCTTATTATGAACTCTTTTGGGTACGAACCGCAATTCGTAAAGTTTATGTGACAACTTCACGTCTAGACGCCAACGAGGCCTAGTGTGAGCACGACTGCCACGTTTCTGCGTTTTGCTGACGCATGGACGCGTGCTCATGGTCGCAGTGTGAGTGCGCCCTAAACCAGTACTAGTATACTTATAGGCTATTCATAGGACGTGAAAATGAATGAAAACACGTTTGTATAAAAGTGGACAAGCTGGACCATCGGATTCACACGGACAACAGACCCGTGCAAATCTCGCATGGGTCTGTGTACTCATTAACTCGAGTACCATAATCAAGTACTCTCGCTGTTTTTACACGCGCCCAAAGCACAAACGTAAAAAGAGTACCACACACGTGAGTTTGCCCGTCGTGTGAATCCCCTATTACGGGAATCGCGTTTTTTAAATACCGTACTTTACCGGTTGTAAGTCGACTCTGGTTTTAAGTCGACACCGTCTCTGGAGGTTTTTGTTCTGCGTTTTAAAGTTATCACCCAACGAAGCACTGCTAACTACTCCCTGCTACTAATACATCGACAAATCATGTAAACATTCCTTATTGGAGGGTATAACGTCCCAATCCTCGAAAAAGGCCAATATACTGGCATAAATGTGTACACACGGTGCACTCGTGCATGCAGTGCCGGTCTTTTTTAAAAGATACAAATAGTTCCCGGTTATAAGTCGAATCCCGGTTGTAAGTCGACCCCATCCTTTCTTCTTCTATTTTCAGTCGTGAAAGGTCAATTTACAACCGGAAATATACGGTGTATATTTTATTAGAAACCGCAAATCTTCGGACACACTCCTTCCTTCGCCATCCGTTCCTTCCTCCAATTCCTCTGCGCCCTATTTGTTTCGTCCATCCCGCCTGGCCCGGTCTATTGAACTTGACTCGGCCGTCAACCTGCTGTCACGTCCTCCATTCGCTCTTGTCCGTTGAATGCGTAGCTTCTGTTGTAGTTGGCTGTTGATCGTCGTGGTCTTTGAATAGTGGGAATGCATGGTGGATTGGCTGTGGTTGTTGTAGTTTGCGTTGTTGATGTTGGTGTGGGAGCCGGTGATACGCAAGGTAGGATTGTCTCAATCGTTCTACATTATTTTTTTGTATAAAGTATCCACCAATGTGGATTCAGCTTGTCTTATTGATTGCGGTTATCAAATTATTGTATCCCCGCAATTTGTTTACATAACATTATTACGTAAATCTCGAACGATAGTGCGGTGGACCTGTGCAGTTGAAAGGCAGCATTGACAATATCTACCTGCATAACTTATACGTTAGCTAGGGCGCATCAAACACACACATATGCGCATATTCATAAAGAGATTATTATCATACGCTCACATAAACAACCACATACCAGCGATGTACAAAGGCACACACACATTTGCCCATGCACGCAGCGCATAATCATACATTGTGCGTGGACTCACTGTCTCACAAAAACGTCCACAAACCACGACGCAGAGTCCCTACAACCGGTCGGTTGAAGTCCCATTGGCTCGAGCACGGAACTTGAAGGACTACAACTTTTTCTGGTCGGGCAGATCCCGGAGATGTTGGCGAACCAACTGTTTCCAGATGTCTAACACTCATTCAGGGAACCACAGTCGATATCAGACTGCAGCTGGTAGTGGTTGACCGGTCGCCACCCGCGCCTGCTGCCTGGTGTTGGCAGGATGTTGTTCGTGAGATGGTACTGCTTGGGAGGGGGGGGGGGGGTACAGCATTCGGGTTAACATCTGTGGGCCTGTCATGTAATGGATTTTATAGAGATAGCAGAGAGCAGCAACTTTGCGCCAGAGTTCAAGGCTTGGCAGATATGCGCCGTTGCCGATCAGATGCAGGGCTCTCCGCAGTACAGCAGTTGAGCCAGCACCGCCTGAGAATCACCCATTCAGATTAGCATGCCATGCTTTAAGATTGGGCTAAGAAAGCCGTTGTACACTGCGAGTCAGCAGCCAGGATCAAGCACTGCCGAGGCCTTCTTCAGGTAGCCCAGTGGTTGTGCGGCGTGCAGGGCTGACTATTGAAGTTGCTGGCAGAATGTCAGTTGACTGTAGAAGGCTATACCGAGTATCTTCCAGCACTGGGTTGCAGGAATGATTTCACCTTGGAATGTGACTGGTGGGCAATCCCAGGGCGGACAGCGGTGGCTCACATGCAGCAGGACTGACTTGGTGCGCTCGGAAGCCACTCGCCAGGTCGCACCCCAGGCAGCAAGGGGATTGACGGCGGTCTGGAGATTACCACAGTCAGCTGCGAAGATGCCCAGACACTGAATACACCTGTAGAGCATTGTGTCGTCTGCGTACGTGGCAAGGCTGGTCGATTGGTCCTCAGAGGTGGTCCGGGGTGGTCCTTAGCGTCATCAATGTACAGCAAGAAGACAGTGGGCCCGAGGATGCTTCCTTGAGGCACATTTGCTTAGATGACGTGTGTAATTGATGTTTGTCCACCGAATACGGCCCGGATCTGGCGGCCCTTTAGATAGTGTTTCAACCATGAGAGCAAGTGGCCAGTAAGCCCAATACATCTGTCTTTGTCCTCTAAACCACGGTGCGACACTTTGTCAAATGTGCAGGCCACGTCGACAGCAAGGATTCGGGTCACGCCATCAGCTTTGGACGTCTTTGACAGTTAGGTCAGACATGCTGAAGAAATGCATTGTCGAGGTGACACTCGGGCTAGCAGCAAAGCTGCGAAAGGAAAAGCCCATTTTTGATTACTCAGCAAAACAAAG